ACAAGTTAATGGGTGCAGCCCACCAACATGGCACATGTATACATATGTAACAAACCTGCACATTGTGCACACGTACCCTAGAACTTAAAGTATAATAAATAAGAAAAAAAGTCTTGGAGTGTGTGTGTTTGTGTGTGTGTGTGTGTGTGTGTGTCTGTGTGTGTCTGTGTGTATGCATGTGTAAGCAGGGGGTACATGGGTGTATCTATACATACATATATATGCACATATATGTACAGTTTAATGGGCAGTGTATTCATAATTTTTATTTGTATTCCCTTCTCCCAAATGGAAGTTTAGTTCTCTGGCAAATACATATGCATTACAATGAAACAGGAAGTGAAATATTTATGTAATTGTCAAATTTAAGCAGTGGATACTATGTTATTATACCATCAATTACAAATATTCTTTGAGTAATTTTTCTCGTTTTCATAAATACAGACTTTTAAAGTAGACCCTTTCTGATACAAATAATATTCCTTTCTAAAGCATTCACAAAATATGTGGATTTGTCTGAACCTGTGTTCTTGGTTTCATTAATATATTATCCATCTACTTAGGCTAGCCAATGATTTACACAATTTGAGCCAAAGTTTGGTAGGCATTTATAGATTAACATACAATATAAATAATCTCAATCAAAATTAAAATTTAAAGCATGAGTAAAATGCTCTTTCTTAGGATTTCAAAATAGTAGCTTGAATTTGTGTTAATTAATTATGTATAGCAGGACTTGGGAAACCTTTTTTATAAAGGGCAATATAGTAAATATTTTAGGCTTTGCAGACCATTAGGCAAAATCAAGGAGATAATATAGATACTTATACAATTAGAGAGAAACATATTTCTACAAAATTGTTTTTTCGTGAAATTCCATTTATTTGATAATTTTTTTAATTATAAACTTTTCATAATACAAGTCTACTAATGAGAAAAATAGAGTTATTTTGTGGGGAAACATTTCACTTAATTGAAATTTGAAGTTAGTATTTTCTATCATCAAAATCAATTGCAAATGTTCATCTGCTACTGGTAGTTTGTTTTTTTTTCTTTTTTTTTTTTGTTTTTTCCCTGTGAGGGACTCTCGCTGTCACCCAGGCTGGAGTGCAGTGGCATGATCTCGGCTCACTGCAACCTCCACCTCCTGGGTTCAAGCAATTCTCCTGCCTCAGCTTCCTGAGTAGCTGGGATTACAGGTGCCCGCCACCATGCCCAGGTAATTTTTTGCATTTTTATTAGAGATGGCATTTCACTGTGTTAGCCAGGATGGTCTCGAACTCCTGACCTTGTGATCTGCCCGCCTCAGCCTGCCAAGTGCTGGGATTACAGGTGTGAGCCATCGCACCCAGCCTACTTTTGATTTTTAATGAGATTTTACCTATTTCATCTTTGAAAATGTCTCTTCATACAGATAAGTACTGCCTAGTACTGATATCATTTCACAGGCATATTTTAATTGTGCATATTCATTGCTTGGAAGCCATTTACAGAATGTTATTATATTCTTCTTTTGATATTTGACTGCGAATTAATAAATTTTAGGTGAAGGTTAGGTGGAAAGCCCTCATTTTCAAAGATAACTAGATTTTGAATGCGAAAATTTTCTTTGCATTTGCCTCAAGGTGTGACACCCTGCTAGAACTGTAGTTAGAGCTCAGAAAATATATCCACTACACATTTGTGGAGGAATCTAGATCTCACTTTTTGCTTGAACTTTTGGCGGCATGGAGAATGTATAAAACTGCTTGACATGTGACTAAAACAACACAATAACTACCATGGTATATATTTTGCGTATATGTACTTTTTTGGTCTGGTAATTTGGGGTTGGACTCATTTTGAAACACTATCAAGTTTACAGCAAAACCTAATTTCCAAAAGCATTCAGTATTTGATAAGAGTGTTTAAGAATGATTCTTTTTATTGAGAAAGAAGTTCAGTCTCAGCCCTGAGCTCAAAAAAAGTGCAATGAAACTTCATCACCACTAACGCATTGACCTGCTGTGTGGTAAGGCAAGTCAGGATATTCAGTTCGACTTCTGACAAAAAGTCATAGAACTGATGATGTTTATATGAGAGCAAACAAAGTATAGCATTTAACACTACTAGTTCAATGACACCTGAATCTTTTACACGAAGTGCCTGCTGGGGAATAATACAATGAAAAAACATAGATTTTTTTAAACACTTTACATTGTAATAAGCTTTGTAAACTTGTCTAAGCCTGTTTTTTGCTTCACGTATATTTTTACCAACACCAATTGTAACAAATCTTAGCAGATTCCACTTCAGGTTGTAATAAATTAGTGTTTTTTTCAACTTTTCTGAAAATATTTTTGTCTGTTGTTTCTCAGACTGCTCTAAGAGGCGAATTCTTCAGTGTATGTTTTTGTTTTTGTTTACACTTTCATTGGTTCCTCAAATAAACAAGAACAGGTGAGCAGTGTCAGTAACATCTGTCAACTTGTCAAAAGCCAAGAATACTATTGAGTAAAAAGTTGTCTTAAAAAAATTTGACTATTGATGTTGCTCCCAGTGTTCTCAACTCTTCAAGCAATTATTCTCACTAAGAATAATTTAACACATTCTAACTAAGAATCTTTAACACATTTATTTTCTTTAGACACGTTTCTTTTGCCTCTGAAATCATGTCTGATTTAATTAAATCACCATTGGTAAATGGCTTTCCTTGGTTGGCTAACAAATAAGCCTCTCAGAAATTTAGTTTGGTTGTAGCCTTATTTTGGATTATTTTTGTGAAGAAATTTGCTATGATAAAACATTTCATTTTATGTTTTCTAATTTTTCAAACTCTTGATTTTTAAAATTGGGAATATTTTGATGGCTGCTTAGTCTAGTGATTATTAGAATAGGTATAGTGTTACAAAATAAACACAGTATTTTGCCCTTTAATTTGATAAAATACTCTGCACTGTGCTGTGTCTTAAAAATGAGATATTTTACTATTTTTTCTTGTTCTGACATGAGGAGTATTCATTGGTGATAAACTTAAATAAAATATCACAGTATGGTGATATACATAGCACTAAAAATGCTATCAAGTTGTAACTATGCCACCAAAATTTACAGTAAGCTGAACAGCAGCAGAAGCAATGTGAACAACCTATTGGTTTTTGCTTTAACTCTTTACTCTGCTACTGTTGAGTAAAAGCCTTAGACAATATGTAAATGAATGAATGTGACTATATCCCAGTAAAACTCTATGGACACTAAAGTTTGAGTTTCATATAATTTTCAGATGTCACAAAATGTTATTATTTTGATTTTTTTTCAACAATTAAAAAATGTAAAAGCCATTCTTAGCTTAGCATCTCCTGGCCTGTGGGCCACAGTTGACTGACCCCTGATATTTATAGTAAGCCTCCTGAGAGAAAAATGATTCTATCATCGAATTCACCTCAAAGTATAGTAGATCTTGCCTTAAGTTATGTGAGAGAAAAAAATGTGTACATGAATGTTTGTCAGTATGGACTGGTTCTAAGAATGATTACCAGAAAATATTAAGGTACTCTACTCAGCATCCAGATCTTGTTTTCTAATATCCTTGCTTTCTAATATCCATTAAAAGGGACCAGGCTCCTTGGAGAAATAGTTAAGTCTGGAGCTAGGGCAGGGAATACACAAGATGATCCTGGAGCATGTAGTAAGGCTGGAAAGTAAGGAAGTAAGTGCGAATAATAAAACAAAATAAAATAGTGAGGGTATATTGAAGGGACTTAAGAGGCAACTGAAAGACCTCCCAATAGCCCAAACTGGATAAATAATGTAGTATTGGATGTAAACCAAGGCATATAAGTTTCTATGAGTCCATATTGATAAAAATAAGTGATTGACTCAATAAATAAAACGAGAAGAAGAGACACATCTTCATAGAGAAGAATTATAATTAAATTATGTAGGTAGTCTCCTCTCATAGAAGTAGAACATAACTCCTCACTTCATTTGTATGGGCTGGAATAAGGACTCCCTTCAAAGGAAAGAGGAGGAAAAAGAGTAACTTTACAGTAGAGAAATATGGCAAACACTACCTTAGCCAGGTTACCAAAGGTACATGCTATCAACATAACTTAGCACAATTCTCAGTGATAAGTCATGTTGATAGCATGTACGTTTGGTAGCATATGATGAAAATGGCACTTTACCTATATGGTCTCCCTCTCAAAACCCATAATCCCAGCTTAACCATGAGAAAAACATTCTATCAAGTATGCTATTCTAAAACTTTATTAAGATTATATTGATACTCAAATTCATACACATGGCATTTGATTTCTTTTAAATTATTGCGATGATAGCATGATCCTAGAATGACCATATTCAGAATTTGCAGCAGAGACTGAGTGACTTGAGTTGTTTTTCCAGCAGTACAGCCCTTATGTAGTGTGAGAGGCCAGACATGTGGTTGCTGAATTGTAGGAGATACACATGTAGACAATTGGATGAGTAAAGTTGAGTGAATGGAGTCTTGGCAGTACCCACCACCCCCCAAAAAAGAAAAAAATAGCAAGAAGCAAATATTGAAGACTCCGCAGCTATTATGAATAGCTGGTTCTGATAGCACTTAGACCTTTAGTATTTCTTGGGGAGAGGGCATACAGTTGTACCACATGTGACATTTTTGCTCCCTTGGTCTGATTTGAAACTTGCTGTGTCTACTTTGAGTGGGGTTTTATTTTGTTTTGCTTTGTTGGTTAAACATAACTATCTTAGTTATTCTAATATGATCTCTTGAACCTAAATGACTCCCTGAAATGGAATCTGTGACTTTCTGTTTTTACTGAAATCTGAAACCCAAACGGGGAATGATAAAGATGGTTTTGACAATACAGGAAACTCATTATCAGGAGATAAACCATAGACTTCCCAATTGTCTTTAATTTACTTTAAATGCATTGTATAAACATCTATAGCATTTACGATTTTGATGAAGATGCTGAAACTTAGATGACTTGTTTTTGTTCTGAAATCCTTTGTAGTTCCACCTAGTATTAAAGGAGGAAATGTCACCTCAGACATATCAGTATTGATCAACAGCATTATTAAACTGGAATGTGAAACACGGGGACTTCCAATGCCTGCCATTACTTGGTATAAGGACGGGCAGCCAATCATGTCCAGCTCACAAGCACTTTATATTGATAAAGGACAATATCTTCATATTCCTCGAGCACAGGTCTCTGATTCAGCAACATATATGTGTCATGTAGTGAATGTTGCTGGAACTGCTGAAAAATCATTCCATGTGGATGTCTATGGTAAGGAACAACATTTGCTTTAATTATATACCTTTCTACCTATGCTTTCTAATATGCAAATATCCAGTTTATTCACTAATAATCCTCGGTGGGTTTGTCTTTTTCAATATACATGGATAGGAATTGGAAGAATTTGTTCCATGATTTGAAAAAATATTTTTAAAACCTAAGGTTAGCAAGAGGGTGTCTATTCATTCAACTAACCTTTGCCATGGCACTTGGAGCATCTAGACAATTTGGTTATTACTGAAAAGGCAAAGTAGTTGTTGGGACTAAGATCATTCTCTACTATTGGTCTTTTATAAGCCAGACAGTCCAGAGTTTCCAGAATAATTAGGACAGTTACAGATTAGCTGAACCAATAAATTCTTTCCTCAATAGCTTAGAGGGAGACAGGCATACAGATAGATTTTAATGGTCAAACTTTATGAGAAAAAACAAAAACTCTTCTTTATTTCATTAGAATGTATTTTGTGACCACACAAATAATTGCCTGAAATGTTGCTATGTTTCTCCCTAGTTCCTCCAATGATTGAAGGTGACTTGGCCATGCCTTTGAATAAGCAAGTAGTTATTGCTCATTCTCTGACACTGGAATGCAAAGCTGCTGGAAACCCTTCTCCCATTCTCACCTGGTTGAAAGATGGTGTACCTGTGAAAGCTAATGACAATATCCACATAGAAGCTGGTGGGAAGAAACTCGAAATCATGAGTGCTCAAGAAATTGATCAGGGACAGTACATATGCGTGGCTACCAGTGTGGCAGGAGAAAAGGAAATCAAATATGAAGTTGATGTCTTGGGTAAATAAGGATGCCACTGCCTTGGTTCTCAGATTCATAGCAAAACCTGATTAGTTTGTTAAATGCTTTTGTTGTTTGTGCAATAATAAAACAATTAAGAGAAGGTATAGTCCTCTGTGCAACTGTGGATTGCACATTACCAAAGGGTGGATTTGTCACCAGAGTCTCAGGATCTAGAATCTTACATAAATCTTCCGCTGGTTTTGATAGGTATACTTGATTTTGCAAGTGCATAGATACATTTTTACGTCTATGACAATGTCTAATCGCAGTGAGCAACAACATGGTCTTTTGCCATAAACACTGTGCCAGGTAACAGGAAACCTAGTCTCTGGGCCGTGGAAAGTCATCTTACAACCTTGAAACCCAGTTTCTTTATCTATAAATTCAAGGCTTTTGAATAGATGCCCAATTTTGGGAGTTTCTTTCTCTTGTGCTTATGAAAATAAACAATATAAAATATGAATTAACTTTATATTCACCTGGCATCAGTGGTACCATAGTACTAGATGGAGGAATAGCTATGATATGTAAAAAGTATGTTTATTGATCCTGACAAGTGTTTACTGTAAAATGTATTTAAAATGCATTTCAAGTCCCCTTCATGTATCAAACTACTATCATACTTATCAACCTTCTGAACTGCTATGTATTATTGCTTCATGTGATGGTGTGTTTTTTGTTGTATACATTTCTTTGTGTTTTACATTCCTGTTGTTTTCTAGTGCCACCAGCTATAGAAGGAGGAGATGAAACATCTTACTTCATTGTGATGGTTAATAACTTACTGGAGCTAGATTGTCATGTGACAGGCTCTCCCCCACCAACTATCATGTAAGGGTTTTGGTATGTCTTCTAAATACCGCTTTTTGTTTTGAGTGTTTTAGAGGTATCTTGAAAGCTGTTCTGTACCATTAAAAAGGATTGTATGAAATTGTATTCTTTATATTCCTCTTTTAAGACATACTCTATCTATATACAAGGCAATGTCTACTTGATAGTCAAAAGGCACCTAAATTTGCTCAGTTAGAGGAATTTCATTGTATGGACTTAGAAATTACATATTTTGAGGAATTCCATTGTATGGTCTAGAAATTACATATTTAGTTCGCAGAGACAGTCTATTAAGCAGTATTGTCAGACTCTCCTGAGGTACTGAAATGTTTGACAGACTACTAAATAAAAAGAAGTATACCAGACATATTAGCTAAACAGAGAAAGTTAACATGAGTATGTGTTTACCAATTCTTTTTTTCTTATTCTTTAATTTTCAAAGCATGTATTAAATACTTAGCTTTTGTTTCCAAGTCACAATGGGATATGCAGAAGAAGAGTTAGTCAGTGAAGGAAATGAAATATGTTCACACATGATTATAAAACTAACTGGAATGTATAGAAATGTAAAAATATAATGCTATATGATTTCAAAGTTTTGTTTACAGTTGTTTTAAGATTGTGTATGTTTTGCTGGTTATTAAACATTGAAGAGGGTAATATTTAGGAGCACTTGTCTCTTTTCTAATTAATTTGTTTTTCTAATTTTAAATTTTTTTGTACATAGTGGGTGTATATATTTATGGGTCATATGAGATATTTTGGTTCAGGTATGCATACATAATAATCATGTCATGGTAAATGGGATATCCGTCACCTCAAGCATTTATGCGTTGTATTGCAAACAATCCAATACTTCTCCCTTTTTTGTAGCCTAAAATTAGTAGGAGAATAAAGAACTCAACACATAATTATTGGGTTCCAACAATATGCCAGCCTCTATGTTAGGCCAGGTTTCCTTTTTGCTTCTCTTTTTCATTTACAATTTATTTTACAGAGTAAGCAACTAGGAAATTAGACAAATATACAATAGAAACTTTATATATCTTCTAGGATATGATTGACTTAAAATATTTATCCAGACTTCCTTTTGCCTTTTTCTATAGGTGGCTGAAGGATGGTCAGTTAATTGATGAAAGGGATGGATTTAAGATATTGTTAAATGGACGCAAACTGGTTATTGCTCAGGCTCAAGTGTCAGACACAGGCCTTTATCGGTGCATGGCAACAAATACTGCTGGAGACCACAAGAAGGAATTTGAAGTGACTGTTCATGGTATGCTGAATGAGAGACAGGAGCTTTGCATTTTAAATTACTTTATGCATTGTTTTATTATCTAACTCAGAATTGTAGCTCAATAATGTGAATAAATCCTGAGTTGTGGAAGGTAGTGTAAAGGATATGAATTTCAGTTGTATAATGACAGATTTTTTTAGTACTTTATTGACCCAGAGACTCAACCAAGATGTATCATGTGAACACATGTAGACAGTAGCCAAAATAATTCTGGGAAATAAATAAATAAATAAATGTAGACAGAATTTAAATGTTAGGAAGTGTGTTCTACATAGAATGCCAAGGTCTGAGGAATTAGACCAAATAAGATAGAAGAGGCATGGAACAACTTCCAAGTAAAGAGGTTATGTAAGCGTTTAAGGTTTTACCCAAAGCAAGAGGGATGGTGAATACAGTAGTTTACAGAAATGGTGGCTGAAGATGTAATTGAAGGATCTGAGGGACATAAGTACATTCACAAAACTGGCACATTAGGAGTATAACCATTACTCTGATGACAGAAGCAACCCTCTGCCAGGGTATTGTGTGTCTCACTTGCTGGCAGAACTTGGGAAGGGAGTACTGGAACGAGAAACTGAACAGCCACTTGGAAACCACAAGGAGTGTCTATGAATGTCAACTTTATTCTCCCTCTGTCTCTGTAGACTGCTGTTTTCTTGATTTTTAGTCCCATATCCCATGATGGAATATAGATAACCCTATTTTTCAGTCTCAGTCCCAATTCCTGAGGGAGGAAATCTGGCAGGCCCAATTTAAATAAAGTTACCATTCCACATTCAATCATCCTTGCAGGGGCAGAGTCATGCAGTATAAATATGGCTAGAAATCCACCTTGATTTAATGAAGTTGTCCTAGAGAAAGGGAGGGTCATTATAGATTAGTAAAACCCATCAAAAGACATAAGCCAAATATACATGTGGATTACGGTAGCCATAAATACATTTTACTTATTCTTTGGAGATTTAAAAATCCATAGTTAAGAAGTAACTAATCTATAAAGTTGCTAAAAAATTAGAAATTAAATGCATGGAATGAAAGTATTTCATTGTTCGTTAAAATAGGGATTTGCTTTTTTTTTTTTTTTTTTTTCCCTGAATTTTAAGGTTTCAGGTTCTTGCATACAGATTTTTAAGTTCGACCCCACTGATTATGGTTTCATTTCCTCTCCCGCTTCCTTAAATATAGTTCCTCCAACAATCAAGTCCTCAGGCCTTTCTGAGAGAGTTGTGGTAAAATACAAGCCTGTCACCTTGCAGTGCATAGCTAATGGGATTCCAAATCCTTCCATTACATGGTTAAAAGATGACCAACCTGTGAACACTGCCCAAGGAAACCTTAAAGTAAGTGTAAGTATTACTTAGCCTAAACTGGGAAAGCTACATAGATCTTCCTGGAAATATCAAATTATTCTTTCTTAACTGTAGATTTTCCTGTTGGACAGATTTTGCAGAAAATTTATTAAAAATATCCATTTTTCTTAGAGTTTTTAAGAATTTAACTTAATATTTTGATTTCAAGAATGGAATTAAAGACTAACTTTAACAATGATACTGATTTTAAGATAGTGGTCATTATTTATACTATTTTGATTTATGCCTAATTTAGCTGTTAAAAAACCGGTGTTTCACAGATGAACGATGTTCATCACTAATAAACCAAAAATGTTCACCATTGAGTTAAATTAAGATAAAGTCATATTTACATAAATGTAGGTAAAATAAGTCTTGAAAAATATTTTTAGGAATTAGTTTATAAGCTTCAAGTGGTCAAAGACTCAATTTTTTAAAAAGTGAATAAGTTCACATTTTTATCCTTCATAGTGAGTATAGTCCCTGGCATATAACTGTATCTCAGTACATTTATCTCAGTTGTTAAATTAGTAGATTGATGATAGATAGATGATAGATTTCAAATCTGGATAATCTAAAGGATGCATTTGAAATAAGAATTAATAGATTTTGCTAATAGGGTCAAGTTAATTAACTAATGCGGGCTTGAATTTTACTCGTGAGTTTTCCCTAATGAGAGATATGTTATGTTCCTTTTTTAGTAGAAGTGAATACTGTAGTAGTAGTGAATATCTGTTAATTTTTAATTCCTATTCCAAATCCAATGGAAATAATCTCACATCTTTGTGCAAGTGAAAGATTCAGTTTTTAGCCTTCGGCCATAGTGAAGGTAAACAATTGTTTACCTGGGAGACAGGTATTTATTGTGTTATCATACAAAAGTAGGATTGCAAACCATAATGAATGATTTTAAGAGAAAACCTAGAGGTGTAAGAACATATCATGAGAAAAGCAAAGACTTCTAGAATGAGAAAAAATTATGGGAAAAGCCCTGAGTAGAGTTCAGAAGACTTTATAGAAGTTAAATGGGTGAATTAATGAAAGAGAACTGAGTAGAGTGGTTCAAGAATATGTGCATGGGCAAACAAAGCAAAGGTGAGCATGGCACCTCTTAAGGACCAGCAAGCCAGTGGACTGAGGAAGAGACCAAGGGAGAGGTGGTATTAAAGACTGGAGACTAGGTAGGAGGCACTTAAGTACAGTTAATGATTTTATTTTTACTTTAAGGCAATGAGAGACCTTTGAAGAGTTTTAAGAGAGGAGTGACATGATCAGGTTTGCATTTTAATATAGTTATCCAGACCCATTCCAAAGAATAAATTGGAGGAGCCAATGATAGATATGTAGAAACCAATCAGAACCTAGTTACATTTGTCTAGGAGAGAGAAAAGATAGAAATTGAGACTCATATGCTGGTCATGCAGATGAGGATACTTGGATAGATTGGTGAGGTATTTATTAGTTAAATCACTGAGGGTTGATGAAGGACTCTGTGAAAAGTGAAGGAGAGGGATGTGTCAAGGAAGACTCCTAGGATTCCAACGTATACAACTGTATGGCTAGTGTTGCTATACAGTAAGTTTAAGAGACAGGAGGGGGACAAGTGTTGCCATATAGTGAGTTTAAGAGACTGGAGGGGGACAAGTTTGAGGTGAGAAAACTGATTTGAGTTTTAGATTTTAGGTGGTTAAGGTGACTATGAGATCAACTAGTGGAGATGTCATTGAATATATGGTCTTGGAGCTCGAAGGAGAGTTCTGGCTGGACATATTGGCATATCAACGATATTTGAAACCATGGGCATGGATGAGTTAATCCAAGGAGAGAGTAAAGGGTAAGAAGAAAAAGGAGAGAGGACTGACCTAATTCAGCCTTAAAAAATTATGGCATTTAAAGACCATGTAATATAATAGTCCCGACATGAATATAAATGTATGAATGTTTGCTTAACATGTTTATAACAGTACGAATGGAGAATAGGTTAAGTGGGAGTTTACATGGGAGAGTTTGGAGAGATCATTTGGGGTCAGAATGTGGTGAGCCTGGAGGGCTGTGCTGAGTTCAGATTTCATTCTGGGAAAGGTGGAGAGCCATGAATGAACTTTGATGGGAAACTAGTTAAAGGATCAAATTTGAATTTTAAACAAATTATTCTGGCAACAATATGCAAGATAGATTAACAGTTGGGGAGGTTGGAGACACTGGAACATCAGTTAAGAAGCTATTATAATCCCACAGTGGCTGTGGAAATGGAAAACAGGCGATCTGAGAAACATATAGTGGCATAATTAATAGGATTCAAAGTAGGCTCCAAAACCTAGATAACTGGAAAAATAGTGGGTGCCATTAAACAAGACTGGGAACATGCAATCAGAAGTAGACTTCAGAAATACAAGGAAAAATATATGGGCTTAATTTTGTGCAAGTGAATTTGACGTTAAATTTGATGTACTAACCTGTTCAGCAGATTGCTGGAAGGACACATGTAGAGCTCAGGAGAGAAAGTGAGCCTATCCTGTAAATTTAGGAAGCATTAAAGTTTTTCACTGATGCCATGAGTTTAGATAAAAACTATCAGACAGCTATGTTCCTTGGATGTGGAACAGGAAAAGGAAGCAGATTCTGAAAAGTAATCTCCTAAGAAAGTCAGAGAATTAGAACTGAGGGAATGCTTATTTTTTAACACTCAGAAGGTAGACAGTTTCAAGGAGTTGGTAGTCAACCACTCCAAATGTTATAGATAGTGGAGGAGAGTATGAGCTTACTACCTAGGCTGATGGATATTGTGACTGGAAGTTACTAGTAACCTCTGAATAGTATGTTTCAAAGAATAACCTCTGAATCACAAGTTTCAAAATGGCAGAGACCAGTTGCAGTGGGTTTAAGAGGGAAATTGGGAAAAATAGGAAGAAATTTATCTGCATTTCCATTATCCATATTTTATAATTTTATTGTTTTTTTGGCTCTCGTGACCATTTAATAAAAAGTCATTGTTTTAAAACTATTTATGAATTGTTATATAAATGTGGCCAGTTTTTTTTTTTCAAATAGCTTAACTTTTCATCACATACTTCATAGTTCAGTGCTAAAGTCTTTTATTCACTATGACTATACCAGTAAGCTGGCCTTAGGTTATTTTATTTTGTGTTTTCCAATGAATAAGAAAAGGCTTTCCAATCAAACTAATCTATTGTCTTGTGCATGATGATGTGAACTTGCTCTAGTCTATCAAGAGTTTATTAAGATATTGGCATGAAAATATTGTTAGGTATTATACATTTAAATGAAATTTTCTGTCTCAGTGAATGTTTTCAAATCCAAGTATAAACTACAAAAATCATCTGTGCTTTCTGCTCCCAATTAGATACAGTCTTCTGGTCGAGTTCTACAAATTGCCAAAACCCTGTTGGAAGATGCTGGCAGATACACATGTGTGGCTACCAATGCAGCTGGAGAAACACAACAGCACATTCAACTGCATGTTCATGGTAATGTAATTTCTACATCTTAACAAAAGAATATTTGTATCACTTTTTAAAAAATAGTGGGCTCATTTTTATTGAATTACAGTATGAAAGAAACAGGTGTTTATTTTATTAGCCTGTATTAAAAAAAACCTAGTTTTTTTCTTACATTATTGTAATTATCATTGCTCATGTTAGGATCTTCAGTTTTCAGGTTGTCAAATAGGACATACTGGAGCTCATAATTAAATACACCATCCTGTATTTTAAGTTATCTGTATTCTGTTAACTTATAGCTTTCTACAGATAACTTTTGTTGAAAAGACAGAAGTTGGCAGCATTATTTCTTAATCTTGTCTGCGATTTTCTTGCCTGCCTATAAGAAGGATTTCGTGAGTAGAAGCCATCTTTGGCTCAGGATCTTCTCCAATGTGCTGTAATAAAAAGTCTGGGTGGCCATGGAGTACCTCAATAAAATCATAGCTTCACAGTAAACTTGAAAGACTACATAACCTTGAATATACCACTTCAGATCTCTAGAGGCTCATCAGAAAAGGCCAATAATTAGAGGCTTGAACTTTCCTAATTTAGCCAGAATATTTGCAGAAAACTGTTCAAGATTTTAATGTACACGTTATTCATTTTCTCTAATTCACATGATTTATTGTTCAGCCCTTTATTAATTTATTCATTCATATATTCACTTCACATTTACCAAGCAATTAAATGTAGAATAATGTCCTAGCACCTAGCTTAATTCCAGGTGTATAGTAGGCAGTCAAAAATATTTAACAAATAAAAGAGTAAATAGTAGGTGAATGAAAAAGTTTTCATTGGATATTGAATTCATCTAATTTGCTTCTTTGCACATTTTCTTCCATTTGAATCAACCAGTTAAAAAGATTCAAATCATCAGTTTCCTAAATGTTTCCAATAAATCAATTTATTCTTTTCCCAGTCCCTGAAATATGAATGCCTAACTTAGGGATGTCTGCATACATACCGTAACATACATAAACTGCATAAACCGTGTGGGTCTTTATTCTTTCACTGAATTGTTAGTTGGGAGACCAATATCTGAATGTAACCATTTTACAATTGGCTGACCTTGCTAGTGGGGTTAGGGGACAGGCTGACCCTGCTCTATTGTAAGTTGCCTTGCATTTGCTTCATTCCCCATAAGGCCATTATCTCTTCCTAGGGCTCTTTTACAGCTGTCTCCAGCATCTACTCAGACTTACACTTCCATCTAAGAGTATGCTTGTGGAGGAGGTTCTCTCTTCTTTCTTATTTCCCTACCCTGAGGCTCCTTCTCTTCTCCTTCTACAAGCTGTTTACCTTCCTTCTCCCATCAAGTTAAGTTCCTGTCTGGTCTCAGTTACTGGCTAAGAGGAAACAGTTAAGTGGGATACAATGGCATGATGCAATCATCTTACGCACTTAGGAGTCAGGCCAACTTTGGTTTAAATGCTATGCTAAACATGATATATGTTACCTTGAGTAAACTACTTAATTTCTATGAGTATCTGACTTCCATAGTGATTTTGGGGTTTAGAGATGATAGGTGTAAAACATCTCCCACTTCATAGACACTAAATAAATGGTAGCAGCTAGTTTTGCTGACTTCTACTTCTTGAGGTGTTTTAAAAAAGAAGGATGTTTTGTTCTCTAGACTGTTTTAAAATGCTTAAATGAATGCTCTATAATAGCAGCCTCCAATCTTTTTGGCACCAGGAACCAGTTTCTTGGAAGACAATTTTTCCACAGACTAGGGAGAGGGATGGTTTCAGGATTATCCAAGTGCATTACACTTATTGGGCACTTTATTTCTATTATTATTACATTGTAATATATAATGACATAATTATACAACTCACCATAATGTAGAATCAGTGGGAGCCCTGAGCTTGTTTTCCTGCAACTAGACGGTCCCATCTGGGGTGATGGGAGACAGTGACAGATCATCAGGCATTAGATTCTCATAATGAATACGCAACCCAGATTCCTTGCAGGCACGGTTGACAATAGGGTTCGTACTCCTATGAGAATCTAGTGCTGCTGCTGATCTGACAGGAGGCAGCCCTCAGGTGATAATGCTTGCTCTCCTGCCACTCACCTCCTGCTATGTAGCCCAGTACCTAACAGACCATCAACTGGTATCAGTCTGTGGCTCAGGGCTGGGGACCCCTGCTGTATAATAAAGAATAGAGTGTATGTCTCCAGTCCTGGAAGAATCTGCCTAGAACAGATGCTCTAAAATTTCAATATTCTTAAAAGACATGCGAGTTACATATTAAAAATACAGCTTCCTAGGCCTAGTCCCAGATCTCCTGAAACAGCACCTCTAATATAGGTGGTCTGTGAGCCAGTATTTGGAAAAACATTGGCCTAGACACTAAAGACAGTCCTGAAGACTTGCCAGTATAGTCAAGACTGACTGAAAACCAGCGTCTGTGAGAGAAATCAAGTATCCCATCAAATAAAGAACAATAGAAGAGAAAAAGCATAATTGATACCTAAGAAGGCACAAGTCTGTAAACGTGAATATTATAACAAAATGTTGGTTGACAGAGATGCAATTAGGGTGCACATCTACATGGAAAATCATCAAAGAGAAGGGGGCAGACTGGTAAACATATAAGTTAATGCAAAAAGAAAGAGAAGCAGAACGTTAGTCATTTTAAGAGCTTATTAAAAATTGCTTAATCAGAGGGAGAATATAAAACTACCTTCCTGATACAAATCACAGGATAGAGGTAAGGTATGGTAGTAGCTTAAAACATTTCAACTAATATGATCATGGCTTGTGTACATAACAGTTCATCTCCCTGAAGGGAGAATAAATGCTGAAGTGCACTTCTAATCTGATACTAATTTGATCAGCCTGGAAAAAAGCAGTTGACTGAGTGCATGTGATGGGAATCTAGAAATCTAGACAGAAAACTGGCATTTTGACATTCGTGACAATAACATCACATTGGACACATAAGGCTGCAGACCTGACTCTGTCCTCTTCAATACTTGTATTAATGACTTTACTGATAACTGGAAATGTTAAAAAATGTAGGAATTTCTAAGAGACTGGTTGATGATAGACTTCAAAAAGACCTCAGTGGTTAAAATGACAAGTTAATATAATGTGGAAAACTATGCACGAATGGGATGTGAAAAGCATGGCTTAAAAGACACCATGCATTGAAGTACCTGAGTATTTGAATTTGGATTTGGTTTGTTCCAATTACTGTAGATATGAGAATTTAGTTTCATAAAAAAGTTAATGAAACTTAGCAGTCAATAGCAGAAGTTACAGTAGGAGGAAGAGGAGAGGAACTAGCCCCATTAATACTCTTGCTCTTTGAATGCTCCCAAAGTATTGCATACAATTCTTATTCTATGTATTTAAAAAGGCATTACAAAACCTATAGGGAAGCAATCCTCATTTAATTAGGTTCAGTTATTAATTTATCAGCCATCCCTATAGTTACTTTTTAAGTTAGAATTTTTTGTTTTTATTTTTGTTTTTAGAGACAAAGTCTCACTCTGTCACCCAAGTTGGAGTGCAGTGGCATGATCATGGCTCATTACAGCCTGAATCTCCCTGGGCTCAGGTGATCTTCCCACCTCAGACTCCCTAGTAGGGAGGACTACAAGCAAATGCCACCACGCCTGGCTAACTTTTGTACTTTTTGTAGAGATGGGATTTCACCATGTTGCCCAGGCTGGTCTTGAATTCCTGGGCTCAAGACGTCTGCTGACCTCGGCCTTCCAAAGTGTTGGGATTACAGGTGTGAGCCACCATGCCCAGCCCAGGTTTTTTTTTTTTAATCCCAATCTTTATTGAAGGGTAACAGATTCAGCAAATGTTCATTTACTACAGTTGTCATCCAGAAATGTCTAATCCTAAAATATTCAGTGTTTCAATTGTTTAATGTTTTCCTTTCTTATAAAAATATCTTAGATACTACCATTCTTCTTAATCATAGCAAAAGTTGTTTCTAAAAGCTATAGTAAGGGTGCCTGGTCTCCTGGACTAGGAGACCACGTCATGATCAAGAGAAGAGGAACATTCTCATGGGGTTTTCCAGGAGGGGGTGTTCTGTCATTTATAAAGGGCAAGAGCCCTCAGTAGGTGGTCTTTTGGATCATCAAAGTTTAATAATTCTGGAACTTTTTATTCCCTAGACCAAACTATGAAATTATATCTAAACCTTATTTATTTGCCAAGTGCGACAGATGTTTCTACAAACAAATGATTATTTGGAGTCTAATAGTCCAAGCATTCATTTTATCTGCACACAATTATTTCCCAGGAAAAAAATCAACCAAGGTGAAGCACCAGAAAAAGTAAAATATTGTTGCTTCAAATTTCCTTTTCTATATTGCCAATTAATAACTGCAGGATAAAAACACACATTCCTCATCTGTAAAATGGGAAGGATAGAGAGAGTGCACCACAGTTATGGAGGTTATGTGAGGATCAGATGAAAGATTACATGTGAAAATCTTAGCCTGGTGCCTGGTTCCTAGTCAGCATCTGTAAATGACAGCATAAAGGCTGTCTGGCAAAACACATATTTGATTTCTGGCCCTTCTCACTGCACCATTTTGATAAATATCTGTAAAGTCCCTCCTGCCTTTACTCTTGGCCAGGAACTCTCTTGGGTCTGTATTAGTTGTCTGGTAAAAACATTAGTAGAGCACCCCTTATTTTTATTTTATTTTTTAAAAAGTATTTGCTTGGCTAACATCTGCTAACACCCACTCAAAAATGGTTCCTCTATCGTTTCTGTGTTTTGTTTAATAGCTCAAATGTGGCTTAAAGGAGACTTGGGAATGTTGTAGGGAACCTTTTTCTTTTTTCATGGATAACTTCAGTTCAGGACTCTATGATTTTCTTGGTATAGATTAATTTATTCCTCCCTATTTCATAATTTCACTAGATAGAGAATATTAACTCACCAAAATTACATTTAGATCACTTATATACTACCTGAAATTTAACCAGGATTTGAAAGACTCTATTC